CAGGCTGGTGTGCTTCTTCCGTGTGGGTTTTGTTGTCTCTCAGCTAGATGGCTGCTTGTTTATCTTCAGGTCTTTAAGGCTTCAGGTGCTATATCTTTTGGTAGCTGGCTTTCTTCACCACACTTGCTTGTGCACCTATTGTTTTCAGTGACTTCAGGTGTTATATCTTTTGGTAGCCAAGCACCATGCGCTTTCTTCACATTTTCTTGTGCACTCATTGTCTTCAGTGATCATGCCAGGCAGGTGAGCATCTCAGACTGCCGAATTGTTAGAACAGAGTGTTCTTGTGTTGGGGGAGTACTTGTGCAGGGTCCCACTGTCCATCTGTTTTCTTAATACTCAACCTATAAATATATATACATAGATCTATTTCCCCCTCGTCATATATAAATATATTTACATATTTAAGAGGTTCAACTGCCTAAAATTTTGTAGATTGAGCAGTTCCATTGACATGGTGTTCCAAGATGTCTAACACAAGGGGTGGAGGGGGAGAATCTAGCTATAAGAATCTTAAATTTTGTACTTTGTTACTAATTCCCTTTACTTAACTATTTGATGACAAGTGGGAAACAAAAGTGGAGTCCAGGTGTGATTATTGAAGTGGCAAAATTTTGCAACATTTATATTTACCACAATATAAAAAAAATAAAGTTAAAACTACTTCAAATATTAACAATCACAATATTTATTTCGATAATTTGTTTTTTCATTTCTGGTGTGAAAATGACCTGGAGTAGCTGACTGGCAAGAAACGGTGTAGTTCTGAGTTTGGCTGGAAAACGGAATATCTTTGAAATTTTAAGTTATATTACAGGAGAGTGTGGTTTTCGGAAACCTCAAATGAGGGAGGAGTTGGTGATGAATTATTCAACTCTGATTAAGAGTAAAAAGTATCAGGCTCAGAATGAGCCTTCCGCTACAAGCATGGATCTTTGATGTTACGTACATAAAGCATTCTCAAACTTTAGTGTCCATCACAATCACCTCAGAGAATTTGCTGAAATGCAATTCTGACCTAGGCCAACTTAGAATCAGAATCTCTAGTTATGGGGCCTGACATATCCATAAACAGGAGACTTAAGTTGAGCATCTTTTGATGAATAGTGATTAAAATTATGGCTTTCAAAAACACACATGAATTACTACTAACCAAAATTTTAAAAAGTTCATTCTTAAGGAAACAAGATAAATCTGTTTCCTACACCTATGTAGTACATCTACCTTAAAAGGATCATATTTATTTTGCGCTCATCAACGTTATATGATTCCAAATTTCATAAAGAAACTTTGATTCCATGGCAAACTCAGAGAAAATGCACACACACATTTTAACAAAGTCCACCTCGCACCCCTCCTAGAAGTTAGCACTGCCTCTTCCACCTACTTGATCTACATGGAGCATACTCAACAGTCTTGGCTCCATCCTGAAGAAAGCAGGTCCCAACAGGCTCTCTCTCCTGTTTCATTTCCGTCCTCCAGTGGTACAGTGGGGCACAGGCCTAAAACCAGAGAGCACAGTTCAGGATCTAAGAGTTCTCTAACATTGAGCATTTGAGACAAATCTATTGTACCTCACAATACAGTATCACAATCTAAACCAGCAGTTTTCAACCTGTGGTTCGCAACCCTTTTGGGGGTTGAACGACCCTTTCACAGGGGTTGCCCGATTCATACCAGTAGCAAAATTACAGTTATGAAACAGCAATGACAATAATTTTATGGTTGGGGTCACCACAACATGAGTAACTGTATTAAAGGGTCATGGCACTAGAATGGTTGAGAACCACTGTTCTAAACACTAAAAAATGCTAATTAGCCTACCTTATAATTTCAATTCCTCATCATAGTAATGGCAAAAGATTTCAAAAGATATGTTTTTCTGGAAACCATTATCTATATTCCAACTACAATTTTTTAAAAAGTATTTTGTACAGTAATTATTTTAGGTAGCACATTTTCACAAGTTACATGCTCAGATGAAAGTCACAGCCTTGAGTGGACTTTTGAATTGAATAACACTTTCATACTCAAAAGAAAAATGACCGTAAATTATAAAACATTTAATATTTTATGCAGGATGTGGATTGCAGCATTTCTTTTATGTGTAAGTTCTGTTATAATTTTCTAATTTAGAGTGAAAACTTTAAATACTATGTACAAATAGTAATGTATGCCTCAGAAACTATCAATAATTTGGTAATTACCAAGAGTAATCTATCCAGAAGTATATCAATTTAATTTACTGAAAGTATTTCAATGGATTTTCTGTAATACTTTTTGAAGCAAAGCACAAACATCACCAACATCAACACTAGGATTATATTCACTCTGAAGAAAATATCAAAAGTTCATTCTTGCTACTCTTCTACACATAATCAACATTCCATGATGGATTATTTCTCTATCTTCCTGCTTCTGCTTCATTGCACCTCTCTTTCCAGAACTCATCAACCCATCCACAACTCTAATTCTTTTATGCCCTCCTAGACTAATTCTTCTCTGGTGTTGCTCCATGCCTTAAAGTCAGTTGAGACTCACGACAACACTAAACTGAACAAAATACTGCCCCGTCCTGAATCATGCTCACAACCCTTACTATGATTGAGCCCAGTGCTGCAGTCACTGTGTCAAACTATCTCACTGAGTATAAGATGGCACTGACCCTCTGTTCTACCAAACGTAATGCCCGAACAGTCCACAATCACGCATGGAGTCTCCCACTCCAATTCCTCAACTGTGTGCCTGTATTCTAATTTATGTTAAAGGTATTTATAAACGTGTCTACCCTCAACCCCTTCTTGTAGTCTAGACATTTCCAAAGGGCCGGCCAGTGTCTCATGTATTTTTGTTTCTCTGGCCCATTTCCTTATAAAAAACAAGTCCTCACTAAACATCTGTGGCATGGTGGCACAGTGGGCAATGTCAGCAGCCACTCTGTGGAAGAAAGATGAACCATAGTGAGTTAGTCTTGGAAACCTACAGGGGCAGTTCTACTCTGTCCTATAGGGTCACCATGAGTCAGTATTGACTTGATGGCAGTGAGTAATGTGAGAGAAAAGTAAGAACAGAGAAGAGTACTGGTTCAATAACGTGAATAGACTTAACTGACATCAATGTACATGGAAAGGCTGTGGAATTAACAAATGTGTATATATGTACACACATATTTACTATAATTTAAAAAAGGAAAAAATAATTATAAGATTTTATAATTACAAGCTTCTGATAATTATAAGCTGAAACTACAGGGGAATTGGTATTCTCTTAAATTAGTTGGACAATAAAGCTTCCTTAAAGGAAGTTCTGGTGGTGCTGCTGAGTAAGCCACTGGGCTGCTAACCACAAGATGAGTGATTCAAACCCACCAGTCACCTGATGAAACCATCTGTGGCCCTGGAAGGATGGACAGCCTCAGAAACCCTGAACAGCGTTGCTACAAGCTTGAGACCATTTGATGGCAGTGGGTTGGTTTTTTTGGTAACGGTGATTAAAAGCCCTTAAAAGTCGTGTTTTAAATGATGTTTATTTTACTGTAGCCCTCGAGGGAGAAAAAGTGGCAATTTACTTCCATTGAATCAATAGTAACGTGCTTGACTTCTGGTTTTGCAGGAGTGCATTCTTGGACAAATACTCATCTAACAAGAACTACTGTATTAAGATCCTAGTAGTATATCCCTAGAAGCCAGAATAATTGGTGGCCAAAGACACAGTCTCCTATTTCTAGAAAACATCTTACCATTCTTTAGTGTCTTCTCCCTTCCTCTAATCTTTACTCCTACTCGAGTTTCTTTCAAGTCCAAGAGGGCACGATTTTATTCCTTATAAAAATGCAAAGCTTTTGAGATATTGTTATTTAAATATTTATTTGGCTTCTACATGAAAAAAGAAGGTAAAATAACATTTCCTAATGATAAACAGTTAGGTTATATCAGCTTTACAGATAACTATAATAGTTACACACCAATGGCAAATTGTCTACTTGATTTTATTCTAACTAAACAAAAATGTTTGGGCCCTTATTTATTATGAAACCATCTCTCTTTTACTCTAAGTGGTCATCAGTAGCTCAATTCTTCATGGCTAGACCTGCTTGGCTGCAGTCATTCCAAGCAGTGTGGGGAAATCCCATGACAAATAAGCACACGTCTGTAATCCATAAGCAGGCTAGTTAGTCTGACCTACAGACATTCTGTAATCATGACCACACTATTTGGAGGCCAAGATGAATTTACTCGTGTGTGTGTGTGTGTGTGTGTGTGTGTGTGTGTGTGTGTGTGTGTAAGAGAGAAAGAGAGAGAAAAGACGTTTTTGAAATAGTGCAGAGTTATAAGGAGCCAACAAAGGGGCAATAAGATCATCGCACAATATATAGCCAAAAGCTTTGTAGAATGAATGACAGTGTAGACCAAGGGAACTGGGAAGGGAATAGCTAAAGATACACAGTCCAGAAATGGGTCAGCAGAAGTTGAGGAAAGAGCAGCAAGCGCAGTGCCCTCCCTGGCTTATACAATGATCCAATGAAAAAGCAAACTATGAAAAATGACTCCAAGGCAACTCGTGTATAGATAAGAACTTCCGCTGTTGTTTTATTGTTGGCTGCAGAGTAGAGTTATCACTGCTCCAGGAGAGAAAGATGAGACTTGCTGTAAGGATTTACAGCCTAGGGAGCCCCCTTGGCAGTTCTAGTCTTTCCTACAGCATAATTATGAGTCAGAATGGACTTGATGGGAGTTGATTTTGAGACCATGCCAAGTGTCCTAACATCTACTCCCTCTAATGCTGATGAGTAGTCTGCAAAGTCAGCTATGAGGAGCTCAACATAACAATGACCCATCATGCTGGAACTGGTGATTTTAACTGATGGGAAGGGTTTTGGGGCTTTATTATTATGTTAAACACACACATGGGTATACTAAGACAACACAAAGCTCAGCATTCAGGAAACTGGTTAAGGTTGTGCTAGTGACAGTATAAAAGAAGGTACTCCTCCAAAACTGATGCTCACTTTCTGAATTTGTTTTTTATGTGAGGGGGATCATTCCACCAGGTCAGACTGTTAATTAAGTTTCCTGTTTAGAGGTTTCTGAAGATTGCAGAACAGTGTGAGACAAAAAAGGTCTGATTTGTGGCAGACGGGGGACTGGTTTTGCCACCACCACAATGCACCTGCTCATGCAACCAACTCAGTGAGCCAGTTTTTGGCAAAAGCAGCATGCCTCTCTTGCCCCACGCACCTTACTCAACTGACCTCACTCCAAACAATTTTTTGTTTCCGCAAATGAAGAGAAACATGAAAGGACAGTGATTTAAGGTCACAGAGAGGTGAAGAAAACAATGAGAGAGGTGCTGTCAAGCCATTCAAAGAGATGAGTTTGAAAAATGTTTCCAAGAATGGAATTGCAGATTTGATAACTGTATTAAGTGTAATGGAGAGTACTTAAAAGGTGATAAGGTTGTTTTGTAAAAAAAAAATGTAAATACACACCTTTGAAAAAAACATTTTTTTCCATTTTGGCGGGGGTTGGGGGTGGGGGTGAGATGCCCTCATGTATTTGCTTTCTCTCCCATTCATCAATGGAGAAAGATGGGGTGGTGTTTAATTGAGAAACTATACACTGTTCTAAGGATATGAAGACAATAAAGTAAAAATGTATAATGAAATCTGCTCAGATTGTCTTTTCAATGATAAAGTACAAGTAGTATAAAGTACAAGCAAGGAACGTGGGCTATGGGTAGCAGAGTGCCTCCAAATGAATCCTAAATCCCCCAGTTAGTAGATAAAAGACCTTCGGCAAGTTACTTAACCTCCAATTAGTAACTTCTTTTTCTAAAAGCAGGCCAATTACTGTTCCTCTCTCAAAGAGCTGTGATGAAAATTAGTGAGACAATCCATGCAGAATGTTTGGTGCTAGAATGTAACTACGCAGTAAGTGGTACAGTGGGCTACAAGTTGGGCTGCCATCCACAAAGCCAGTAGTTCTAATCTACTATCTATTCCATAGGTGAAAGATGAGGCTTTCTGATTCCAGAAAGACTGAACAGCCTCGAAAGCCTAACGGGGCAATTCTACTCTGTCCTCTGGGGTCACTATGAATCAGAATCGATTTGATTCTGTGAATTTCATTTTCCTGAGTTACTGTCATTGTTGTTCTTATTACAGAAGCAGCAACAAGAATCAAAAGTCTTTGTATTTTAGTAACAGAAAACAAGTCTAGTGTATTCAACAAGTCCCAGCATAAACTTTGACATCCTACAGTTAGGAAGTTTTAAAAAAGTAGAAATTGTTCTTAGGCTCACTCACCAGCTATGAAAAAAAACTACTTTGTAAAACAACATCAAGCTGCATAATCCAGGTCTACCTAAAGAGAAAAGTTTTGCAAGAGTAGTAACTATGCTATGAAACAAGTAGAGACCAATAGGCAACTTGTAAGTACTGAAAGGTCAAGCAAGCTTAGAGCTGGACTACACACTCCAGATGCTAGAGGGGCCGATGGATTTGAGGGGGAGGATGAGTAGTCACAGAAACCATGGGTCTATAAATCACAGGAAAGAGGCCAAGGCACTGCCTAAGGGATCCATTTCAAAGACAAATTTCCATTTAAAATAAAACACTTGAGGGCATTTTGGAGATCAATGAAAGAATTTGAATATAGATTAGCTACAAGGAAATATTCATTATAGCTATTTTTGAATAAAGAAAATGATCCTTTTTTGAAATTCACATTATCATTTAATATCTTTCGACATAAAAAAATAACCTAATAAAAACTTCAAAGACTTTCAAATGCATATAAGAAAAGTTAAGGCTCCTTAGCATGACCTGCCAATATAGTGAACATATCATTTATAGTCCAAACTGAGAAAATGCTGAATGAAAACGGGAAATATAAATATTTATGAAGGATTCCCTAGAGCTGTAGTGGGTCAGTAGTTCAAAGCCACCAGCCACCCCAGGAAGGAAGAATGAGGCTTTATGCTCCTATAAACTCACAGAAGCAGTTCTATTCTGTCCTATAGAGTCACTATGGCCGTGATAGAAGTAATACCACAGAATGCATAGTAGAATTTTGCTAGACTAACAATCTATTCATTGGAGATAGCAGTTTTTCAACATCATTAATGGCAACTGTACATATGGATCTCACCAGATAGTATGCACAGGGGTCAGGTAGAAAGAAATGATGGGGAAGCTCAAGAGCATCAGTCAAACAAGGCCAGGGAGCAGCTACAGAACAGATAACTAGTTACTCATATACAAATCAAGTTGAAGCTGAAAAAATTAAACTAAGTCCATGAACACCATGAATTCAACATCCAGAGAACACAGTCCTGTTTGCTGAATAAGAAAAGGATGGAAACAGTTACTGATAAAGATGTAAGACTATAGCCTTTACTGTGGATTACACCTGAACACATTTTAGCAATGCTCCTTTGGAGTAGGCTATCAGAACTCCATAGAGAATAGCCAAATAGGTAGTGTGGATATGATAGATACATAAAATTCGGGGTTAGTAACATACGAACTGTAATCACCCTTTAGGTGAAGGGTATAGCTATGAGAAGATATGGCGGATGGGGAGGTGAGAGCACTGTAGATCAGAATTCTAAGAAACTCCACCCTTTGAACAGAGGAGGAATTATTACAGGAAACTATTAAGGAGGATAGAAAAACTAGGAGAGTATAATAAATATAATCAATGGGGAGAAAGGTATTTTAAAAAGAATGGTGTATCTACTTTGTTAAATAGTACTATGAAGGGGAAAAAAAGAATAAATATCAATGGATGTAGTGTTCTCAAGATAAAGATGATTTTGGTTTTGCCTACCTAAGGCTGACCTGAGAGGCTAACGAGAGAATATGAGAATGTGGAGATGACTAGGTATTATATTTAAAAAAAAATCTTTCTGGGGAACAGAGAAACATGGGCAGTAATAGAGGTGAAGAGAAGTTTGTTTCTGTATTTTAAAGGCAGGAGATTGTAGACCTTTGATTAATCAAAGGCATACTGTTCCTAAACATAACAGAGGAGGGGGAAGAAAAATTGAAGGGAACTATCAAGTAGGATGGCAAAATTTTCTTCCAAGTAGAAATGAAACTGGAATGTAGGGAAGCAGACTTCATAGGGCATTAGAGTCGATACCTTTATATCGGGGTCCTATAATCAGAGATATTCATTCATATCCAGTACCCAGGGGTCCTATGATCAGAGCTCTTCATTCACATCCAGCAGCCAGGGGTCCTATAATCAGAGCTATTCATTCATAGCCAGCACCCAGGCACACTCAACTTTCTTGTCAGCTTAAAAATAGAGAAAACCCGTCTACCTACACGAAATGAACTAAACTTAGCTATTAGTAAATAAAAAAAAATAAAAAAAAACTTACCAAAATTTTATCCTGCTTTGACCTCACTGATGCTCCAAACCATTGATGAGACTTAAACTCCAATGGGTCATCCTTGGCATAGTCTCTGTTGCCTGAAAAATAATAATGTGCACAGTGAGGGGGGAAACACACACACACACACACACACACACACACACACACACGTACACCGCACACACTGATATTTTAGAATTTGATGTTTTATCCAGTCAGGTTCAGAAATTGCTCTTTAACCAAATACTACATTGGCCTTTCGTCTCACAAACTTTAAATGCATTAGGGATTCTTTAACAATCAGGAAATTAAAACACAAAATAACTAAAAAGTGCCCCACAGTGGTGATTATCCCCCTTAATTATCATAATGCAGAGGTGAAAAAGTCACCATAAGTGACATTTCCTAGTTACTACATTATTAGATAATTCCCTATAAAACAGAGATTTGTTGATTCACTGACCTCTCAGTTCTTTTATGAGTATAAAGTTGCTAATGAAAATATATGATTATAAAAACTCATTGCATCACAGTGGCAGCAAAAGACTAACATGTGTGTCTTAAAATTACAAAAAAATTTTTTTGATTACAAAAATTAGAATCTAGACCATAGGATTTGATTCACAGCTTGAAATAATTAGATGAAGCACTCTACATTCAACTTCGAAGTAAAATGAGAAGTACAAGGTTGTTCCCTATCATTCTTTCAAGGTTTCCACTATTTAAATAAACATTTGAGAGCTCATACAATTACTCCTCATTTATCAGGCACTCGTAAAGCATACTGTACATTTAAAATTTTAAAAAACAATAAAGACCTTTTCCATGGAAAAGTCCTTGACCTAATTAAGTAGAAAAAAAACAAACAGTATTTTGGGAAAACCAAAACTCAAACCCACTACTGTTGAGTCAAATTGAACTTTTAGTGACCCTAGTGAACAGAGAACTGCCCCACAGGTTTTCTAAGATATTCGATCTTTACAGACGTACACTGCTCCATCTTTCCCAGGGGAGCAGCAAGTGAGTTCAAAATGCTGACTTTGGGGTACTGTGACACCAAGACCTCCTTTTTTGAAAAACCTCAAACCCATGTCCGTCTAGTACTGTACCCTTTAGCAATATGACAGTAAATGTAGACCAACAGTGTCATTTTTATCACACAGCCATAGAGTATGTTAACTGATCCCCTAAAATTCCTAGTTTAAATTTAGGGATATTTCTAAATCTGAATTATGAAACCTTCATAGTTTCTCAAAATTATATCTATTTCCTCTCACAATTACACAAGAATACTTTCTCTGACAAATACACAAAAACCTCAGCATAATTCCATCTTGGGGTATGAAGTATAGGCTCATTGCTAAGTTAAGGTGCTAGAACCTCTGAAAATGGTATATAGTAGAGAATTTTATTCTAATAAATGATTTTCAAGGTCCCAAAGCATATTTTATATGAAATAGGCTTTTCACCTCTACTTTCCTCAAAATGTCTTTTATTCCCTCTTTTTGATTACAGAGGAGTCCTGGGGTGCTATGGGTTAGATGTTGGACTGGGAACCACAAAGTTGGCGGTTCATGCCCTCCAGCTGCTCTGTGGGAGAAAGATGAGACTGATCACTCCCTTTTACATTTCTAGTCTGAGAAACCCTAGAAATCAACTTGATGGGAATTGGTTTGGTTTTAATTTGAATATGAGACCTTATTTATGCATGTATCAACCCATATGTTGTGTACCCCTTCTTGTAGCTTGCTGATTCCAGCATCTTTTATTCTAATAAAATATTTCCCTTCCATATATCTCACTTGTTGCCACCACACTCCCTTTGAAGACATCATTTTATTCAAGCCACCACTTTGCTCAAGAACTTTGACTCTTCCCTGAAACATCTGCCCTGTCCTAAAGCATCATTTGTCTTCAATCATGTTACCAAACAAAATAAGCCACATATAATTAAATGCTCCTTAGAAGTGAAGATGGCTAGATGTCATCTCACATACTTTGGACACGTTATCAGGAGGAACCAGTTCCCAGAAATTGGCATCATACTCGGTAGAGAGTCACTGAAAAAAGAAGACCCTCTTCTTAAAGGCTTGAAGGTAATCAAGCGGCCATCGAGCTCAGAAGCAACAAAGCCCACATGGAAGAAGCACACCAGCCTATGCAACCACGAGGTGTCGAAGGGATCAGGTGTAAGGCATCATCAGAACAAAAAATCTTACCATAGTGAATGATGGGGGGAGTGCGGAGTGGAGATCCAAAGCCCATTAGTAGGCCACTGGAGATCCCCTTGCAGAGGGGTCTCGGGGAGGAGATGAGCCAGTCAGGGTGCGATGTAACAATGATGAGAAATACAACTTTCCTCTAGTTCCTAAAGGTTTCCTCCCCGCTCCCACTACCATGACTCGAATTCTATCTTGCAAGACTGGCTAGACCAGAGGAGGTACACTGGTACAGATAGGAACTGAAAATACAGGGAATCCAGGACGGATGAGCCGTATAGGACCAGTGGTGTGAGTGGCAAAACAGGGAGGGTAAAGGGAGAATGGGTAGGAAAGAGGGAACCGATTACATGGAACGGTGTGTGACCTCCTCCCTGGGGGACAGACAACCGAAAAGTGGATGAAGGGAGACGTCGGACAAGGCAAGATATGACAAAATACCCATTTATAAACTATCAAGGGCTCATGAGGGAGGGGGGAGCAGGGAGGGAGGGGAAAAATGAGGACCTAATGTCGGGGGTTTAAATGGAGAGAAAATGTTTTGAGAAACGATGTACAAATGCGCTTTACCCAATTGATGTGTGTATGGATTGGGATAACAGTTGTATGAGCCCCTAATAAAATGTTAAAAAACAGAAGAAAAAAAAAGGAAAAAAAAAAAAAGAACACCCTCAACAGGACAGACAGACAGACAGACAGACAGACAGTGTGGATCCATCAAAGGACTCACACAAAACAACAACTCTGAGGATGGTGCAGAACCAAGTAGTGTTTTGTTAAGTTATTTATACACAGGGTCCCTATGAGTCAAAAACAATTCAACGGCACATAATGACAACACACTGGCATACATAAAGCATCCAAAACTTAGTCAACAATTAAAAAAAAATCCATTGTCTTCATTGCCTTCAACTTCAACAATATCCAAACTCAAAGAGTGTCACCTCTTCAAGAAGTGTAGTCAATAGGAAGTTCTTGTTTGCCCCTAAGAACTTTTCTCTAGATTTCCAAGTCTTAAAATAATTCATTCAACATCAAGCAGAAGTTGCACTCAGAGTAAGTAGAGGTGGGTGGAATAAATGAAGCTATTCTTCAAACAAAAGGACATCAAGTTCATTCATGACCAGGTGGAAACTGGCAGTTATTCCCATACCCTTGCTTCCCTTATCAACTATGTTGCTGCTGTGAACATTTCGTATTTGCAACCACATTAAAAATCTAATGCTTGGGAACACTGTGGTGCTAGGTGAGGGTAATGCCAACTTGTGAGGTCTAAGGTTATGTGTCAACCTGGTTGGGCCATTATTCTTACTGGTTTGATGGTTATGTAATGCTGTAAAATGATAATTATGTAAAGGAAAAATTTGACAGTTATGTAATGATGTCAAATTTGGCAAGTTGACAATTTTGTAATAATGTGCTCATCCTCCATTTTCATATAATGGTGAGTTTTACATAACAGCATGGTCTTCAGAATTTAACCATGTTGATAAGTAAAGAGCGGGTGTGTTGTTAAGTCATAACCCTGTAGAGGCAATCTTTTGAGTCACTGTCCTAAAGTCTACATATTTTGAGTCACAGCCCTGAGGTCACCATTTCAGGGAATGCTGTAACGCTACAGGCTGCTTGGACTATGCCACCAGCCCTGAAGAGGAAATGGGGCAGACATTGCGATAGCAAAGCTTCTTCAGGCAATCATCAAGAGAGAATAGATAGCTGCCAATAATTCACAAAACACTTTGTCATTTCCTCTGAACTGAATATTAATACACAGCATGCTGGAACATTTATTTTTTTATGAGATAAAGTTATTCTACAGCTAATTTCCCCCCCTTCTTTTCAAGTCCAAATTATATCTTTTGGAACAACAAGTTCATGTCACTTTTTCTGAAAAGACCAAAGTTAAGAAAAATTTCAATGCATTACCAAAGAAAAACTAAAACCGTAAGATATTAGTGTTTCCAATCATTTGGTTCCCATCCATTATTATATGACTTCAATGAAAAATGAATTTAAAACCTTAGAGAATTTAGCTTTTTGCTAAAACAAAACTGGTGTTCAAACAATACTGCCCTATATTCAGATTAATTTGCAGGCTTCCTTAAGTGACTTTTCACCTCAAACATTACAATCATACTTAAGAAAAAGCTCCCAATATAGCTTACTTATTTATGATATATTGACAAGTCAAAGGAAGAACTCCTTGAATATTCATTAAATATAAAAAAGCGTGGGCATCCCCTATATCTAAACATTAGAAATGTTACAAAGAGGCAGGTCTCACTTTACAGGAGAAAAGCAAATTTATTATATAATTTCAGAGAGTTACAAATGCTATGAAATAAAATAGAATAACGAGAGAAAATGATGATGGGATGATAGTTTTTGGTACTCTATTGTATTTTAAATTAACATTATTGTGACAAATAAACAAAATTTTTAAATGGAGAAAAAAGATGTGCATCTACTAGTGGTAACTAGATAAACACTTTTTTAAAAATAAACACTTAAAAATCTATTCAATGGAATACCATTAATTAAAAGGAGGGAAATATTGATACGCATCATAACAGGAGAAAGGTGCAAAAAAAAATTATAGGGAAATGTCAATATATTTTAACTCCATTTTCCCATAAAGTTTTTAAAGGTTCCTTGTATGTGAGTATACTAAATGAAAGAAGCCTGAAACAAAGATAACAAACTATATAATTCCACTAATATATGATGAGGAATAAACAGAAACAGAGAGTAAATTAGGGTTAGAGGTGTGAACTGGGAGTGACCAGGGAGCCCTGGTGGTGCTGTCAAGTAAGCATTAAACTGCCAACCCTAATCTCTATGGTTCCAACCCGCCAGCTGCTCCACAGGGGAAAATCGAG